GGAGAAGCAGGAGACCGGGGGGAAGCCATCGTTAGCAAGTGAAGCTAAGAGAAGCTCAGCTAAGAGAAGCTAAGTGCTAGTAAGGTAAACCACCAGAGAGATCAACAGGAATGGAGATAAAGACGGTGCTTGGTGAAAACTATCAGATATACTTACAGACTTTTAAACAAACAGATGTATTGATAGATTAAAGAGAGAATATAACCCAAACAGCAAGAACACTATCAGGAGGAACAAAACGCTACACACAGTTCAACAGCAAGGAAGAGAATGATGCAATGCGCATGCTCACCAGTCAGGAGGAGGAGTCAGCCAGATCTGTGTCATTATAATCCCCCATTATTTAGTGTGGTTGTATTTTTGTCTCTTTGAAGCCAGCAAACCCAAACAGCTCAGTGTGCTGCATGTGGAAGAGCCTGGCTGTATGAGTTGCATCTGCAAATAGTTGGGCTCTTAAGTAATAGTCTCTTAAAATTAGCAATATCACATAAGCAGACATGGCTCTTTTTCCTATTTACAAGAATATGGCCAAGGAGCACTCTGACTTACAAAGGTGGTTCTCCCCAGTAATGAAAGCTCTGTGGGATCATCAGGTGAAACACACACTGGCACACCCGGCAATTCTAAGGTTTACATGGAAGGGGAAGAGGCTGAACTTTAATGATCCAAAGAAAGTTAAGATCTTTGTTTGGGAAAACATACAACACACGAAGAACGACTGACTGTATGATGTGAATATGACGGAGAGTGATATTTATGTTGAAGGCACAGCAGAGACGGGGACTCTGGGGCGCTGCTGTATCTGGAAGGTTGGTGAGAGGAGCAGAAGGTACCATCTATAGGATCTAAATGGACCAGAATCATATCAAGCCCAAGGCTTATTTCACTGTCATGTTCATTTTAAAGGCAGTGTTTTTTGAGTTATTGTTATTTAGTATTGTTTATATCACTGTTCTGGGACACTGGTTTTGGAGGCATTTTTATTTTAGTGTTAATGATGGCAGAAGTAAGGTATTAATATGTAGAGAAGTATTGAGGGACAATGTCATGGAAAAGGGTGAAAGGAGAGGGAGATTTATATTCTTAGGAAGTGATGAGTAGTGGACATATCAATATAGTGACATGGAATATTAATGGCTGTAGTACACCAATTCAACGCAAAAAATACTCACTTATCTTAAATCTAAAGGCGCAGATATTGCATATATTCAGGAAACATGTGTTCAGGAAACACATTTCAAGGACCAAGATGAGGTTAGGCTTTAAAAATGAAATGTGATTGGGTTGGCCATGTCCTTCATAATTCAGTATCAAGTAAGAGTTTTGGGGTTATCATCCTCCTCAACAAAAAGCTGGATTTTGTTGTAGTAAATCAATTTAAAGACTCTCATGGAGGGATCCTAGTTGTGGAAGCACTTATTAATGGAGTCAAAGTCATACTCTGCAACCTATATGCACCAAACAGAGAAAACACATCATCCCCAACACATTCTCCACATACGGAGTAGCTTTACGTACTTTACAGGAAGAACTGGGTTTGATAGATATTTGGAGACTCATATACGCAAAGAATGTGAATATACATTTTATTCTCATTCTCATAGATCTTACTTATGAATAGATTTTTTTCATGAGTCATCAATAGGTAAATTAGAGAAATATATTATAAAAAGGCAGAGTATTCACGATTTAGGCTCAAAACAAATTTTTATGAAAATGGTGAAAAAACTGGACGATTATTGGCAAGACAATTAAAACGCTTTGATTCAAATAACACTACTACCGCAATTAGAAAAGATGATAAATTATTTACTAAAGCTAAAAAAAATTGATGACGTTTTCGAGAACTTTTATGAAGATTTGTATACGACTACATGTTTGGCTAGTGATGAAGACTTGAAATATTTTTTCAAGAAGATAGCGCTACCACAATTGTCTGCAGAGGAAAAGGGATAGTTTGGATACTCCCATAACGGAAGCTGAAGTTCAAGCTGCATTAAGGGGTATGAAAACTGGGAAGTCACCTGGGGCCTGTTCTATGACGCAGGATTACTGCTTAGCGAGGTAACTTCGAGGGTAAGTTCGGGGTTTCCTGTTCTACGACGCGGGTTCACTTCTTAGCGAGGCAAGTCTCCATGGCAACATACGCTGAACGGCTAACCTGCTCCGGGGCAGGTTAAGTTCCAGATTGAACTCACCGAGCATAAAAAAACCACCCACTGACCAATGAGCTCTCTCGAAAAACGGCTTGTCCGTTCTCGGAGGATCCTGTAGACCTCAGTGCTCGCATTGTCCGAGGAGCACTCCGGCTCGCGAGAGTTTTCAGGGACTGCATGGACCCACTGACTTCTCCGGATGACCACCTTTATGAAAGGCTCATATGGCCGACATATCACACAAAACATGTGAACACGATAGGAATTAACAAATGAATGAATTCATCTTGGAAATGAATGGGCTGCCAGACAACATCTCGGTACTATTTAGTAGCAGCGCATGCCCCTTTTAATAACCCCGTAAATACTGTTGTTCAGGACTGCTTACTTGTGCTTCTTACCCAGTGTAATAACCGTTGTTCTAGCCCCCATGCAACATTTTTGTTCTCATTCATGAAACGCTTAAATCGGGGACATTTTCGGGGACAGCTTTAGACGGGGACAGATCATCCAATTCGGAGACTGTCCCCGGAAATCGGGGACGTCTGGTCACCTTAGTTAAAAGCGCATGTTGAACAGTGCTATTTCAGGGTGATAATGGCATCAAAGATTAATTTTCTGCCTTCCCTGCTTTTGTAGCGGTGACGGTGTTGGTTTTGAGGTTTGTGATAGCTTTGAATTCTTCATACTTTCTCAGGATCGTCTCCTGCTCCTCGTTTGTAAAGTCTGCAGTCCTTCACTCTCCTGCCTGCTCTGACGCTCCAGACTTGTCCATGTTCGCGATTGGTCAGATGCGGCGGGCTCCGCCTTACATGCGTGAACGCGCTCATAGCAAAGCTGGATCAACTTACGAGGTTGATAACCAGCGTCGTAAAACCGTGTAGCGAGACTGCTGGCTACCGCGCTAAGTTGAGCCAGGTAGCTCCAAGGCTACCTCGCTAGGTTGAACTTGCTTTGTAGAACAGGCCCCTGGTATAGATGGTTTCCCAGTGGAATACTACAAGAAACATGTTGATATTATTTGTCCAATTCTCACAGAGGTTTTCCATGAAGCGTTTCAATATGGCTCACTCCCAGAAAGTCTTAACCAGGCCATTATATCACTGATACCAAAGAAAGATAAGGAATCATAAGACCCAGCTAATAAGAGACCTATAAGCCTAATAAATGTTGATTGTAAAATACTGTCTAAGACATTAGCACTAAGATCAGATCAGGTTCTGCCTAAAATTATTCACAAAGACCAAGTTAGATTTATAAAACATAGCTCTTCATCTGATAACATGAGGAGACTGTTGCATTTAATTTGGATTGACAGTCAGCTCCAATTCCCGGTTGAGATTATTACAACATCTCTCCGTCCAGACATAGTGGTTTGGTCGACAAAGGCAAAATCAGTGCTCATCACTGAGCTCACAATACCAGCTGAGGAGGGGATTGAGGCTGCCTACGAATGAAAGAAGGCAGGAGCAGCACGTCAGAGAGCAATACAGTGACCCGGTAAGGAACGTCTCATTAGGAACACCAGGGTATGTGTCGAAGCCTGCGCCTCCGACTGCTGTGTTCAACACAATGCCCCCCAAGCTCAGCGAAGTCAGGCAGGTTGTGGAGAAGGCGAGGTCTGCTTCAGCACCAGGCCCCAGTGGAATCCCCTACAAGCTCTATAAGAACTGCTCCAAGGTTCTAGAGTTGCTATGGTACCTCATGAGAAATAGGTGGAAAAAACAACTCATTCCATCCGAGTGGCAAAGAGCTGTAGCAGTATTCATCCCTAAGGAAGTGAACTCAAAGGACATCAGCCAGTTCAGAAACATCACCCTGCTGAATGTGGAAGGAAATATCTTCTTCTCAGTTCTGGCCAGAATGATGACCACCTACCTACTAGAGCAGGGGTGTCAAAGTCAAATGGACGGAGGGCCAAATAAAAAATTTAGCTACAAGCCGAGGGCCGGACTGATCGAATGTTCATTGAAAATTTTTTAAATGACGCATATAGTCTAGTGAACCTAATTGAACCCACTGAAAACCTAACAAATATATTCCAATATGATCAGATAAATAAAGCAATATTTTCTTATGGCTCTGTCAGTAATCTTTAATTTTCAACAGACACAAAAGACAAATTTCCTTTATATAAAAATCCCCATAACATGAACATTACATGAAAGAAACCGGTATTATTCAAGGCACCATCAGTAGCCTATATTTTCTATTTTAGCAAAAGTGGGCTAAATTTACTTCAAAGAAAAAAATAATAATAGCAATTTTCTATCATCCACTCAACTGACTCCCGACTCTCACCTTGTTTGAAACCCCCGGTTCTCAGTGTCCACCTTCCGTTTTGCCATTTTTGATGGGTATCTGAAAGTTAATTTTACTTTTATGCTGACGACTGCTGTGTTAATAAATATTGAAATGAAGCAGCCTACTGCTCGGTGCGTCGCCGTTGCATTGTGGGAAATGTAGTATTGGTGCGTGTAAAAGATCTGCGGGCTGCCGGCTTGCTACGGTCTGCGGGCCGGTTCTAATAATAAATCAAGATCATCCCAGGGGCCGTAAAAAACCTTGACTCTGACATATGTGTACTAGAGAATGGCTACATTGACACCAGTTGTCAGAAGGTGGATGTCCCAGGCTTCCCAGGGTGCATAGAGCACTCTTCAATGATCTGGGACCAGATCCAGAAGTCCAAGCGGGAGAAGACAGACCTGCATGTAGTCTGGCTCGACCTTGCTAATGCGTATGGATCAGTCCTGCACCAGCTGATTAACCACGCCATGGAGTTCTTCCACATGCCCCCCTTGCATTAAGAACGTGGTCGCATCCTACTTTAACGACCTACAGATGTGCTTTGCCCTCCAAGATTCCACCACCGGGTGGCAACGTCTTGAAGTAGGAATCGCAATGGGTTGTGCCATCTCTCCCATCCTGTTTGTGGCAGCCTTTGAAGTAATCCTTGTTGGAGCAAGACAGATGGTTGGAGGGATCAAACTACCATCTGGGCAGAGGTTACCCCCTCTGAGGACGTACATGGATGACGTCACCAGCCTCCTCCGGATGGCAGCATGCACATCAAGACTCCTGAAAAGGATAGACAAGCTGATGTCATGGGTACGAATGAGGATCAAGCCATCAAAATCATGGAGCCTGTCTCTCAGAAGGGGAGTGAGACATGACAGTACCATCTTCAGTGTTGGGGGAGAGAAAACCCCACTCCTCTCTGAGCAACCCATCAAGAGCCTGGGGAGGCAGTATACCGCAGAGCTCACGCACAAACAGATGGGGAGAGTCGTGATGATGATGATGAGGCAGCTATCAGAAGACCTGGCAAAGATCGACCAAAGCCAGCTGCCAGGAAAGTACAAGGTGTGGTGCTACCAATTCACGCTCTACAGGAGGGTGATGTGGCCGTTGAAAATTAGGCTGGTTGGAAGGCTACCATAGATGCCTAGGCTATGTGGGACTGTCAATGACACGCCTTCTGAAGGACGTAGAAGTAACCGGAAGAAACCTGAAGAAGGCAACCAAGGAGCTAGTGGAAGAAGCGGAGAAGGGGAGCTTTTGGCTCTGGCTGAGGAGAAAAGAGAGGTGCTGGGGAAAGAACGACTAACCCAGAGAACAGCGGCAGACAATAACACCTCTCAGCTACGGGGGGTGGCAGGGAGACGTCCCTGCCACTGCTCCGCCACCAGGAGACGTTCCAGGATTAAAGGAGCGAAACGTTGGTGAATGGTGGTTCCTGGCTGAGGACTCTGTAGCTGACCCGTGGGCACCGGAGGAGGTGCAACAGGCAGCAATGCTTAGCAGGTGTTCCATCTTCCTGTACACTAATCTGATGAACAGGACTTACCCTCATCCTGTTTCAGCCATATTACTTGATGCTCAAAAAGCATTTGATAGGGTGGAATGGGCTTTTTTATTTGCAACTCTTAAAATTTGGGTTTGGCGATGATTTCTGCAGATGATATTCCAGCCCTTAAGCTGCAGTCTTTATGAATAGAATAGTATCTCAGTTTTTCAGCATAACCAGGTCAACTAGACAGGGGTGCAGTCTAAGTCCTGTATTGTTCACATTTTCTTAGAACCATTAGCCACATTGATTAAAGCAGAGCTGAGAATTAAGGGTGTCAGAGCATAAATTATTTCTTTATGCTGATGATATTTTGGTACTGAGTCAGGACCCAGCTAATTCTGTGTCAGTTTTTCTAGAAACTATTGAAGCATATATTAAAGTGTCTGGTTATTGCATCAATTGGCACAAATCAGAAACCATACCAGTGTCTCAAACTTGTTCATATAATCAGCTATTTGCTTTTAATTTCAAATGGTTTCCAAAGAGATGCAATATTTAGGTATAGAATTAGACCCAGACTTAAGGGAAATCATGACAACTAATATGGAAAAAGTATTAAACAAAATAAAAGTTAATTTGGATAATTGTAGTAAACAAAATCTGACATTATGGGGTAAAGTAAATGCAATAAAAATGGTTTTGGCACCACAAATAAATTATATAACTGGGATGATACCCATATGCATTCCAAAACAATTATTAGTCGGATATGACAAAGTGGTAAAACAATTTCTTTGGGATGGAAAAAAAAACTTGAATTTGGTTGGATAAATTATTTGAGACCGAGAAAAGGGCGAGTTTAGCTTTGTCGAACATGAAATATTACAGTGTTGCCTTTGAGATGTCTAAGCCTACAGGACATTGGGATGAAGCTGGTGCAGATCTAGACCGAGTCCGTATTGAGTGGGAACTCACCTCCCCCCTTAAAGCTATGGAGGCTCTAACACAAACAGTTAAAAATTAGAAAAATAGAGGTACATAAGAGATGTAAAATCTCTTAGCATACTCAAAAATGTGCATCTACAGCATATGGCACAATCTGAAAATAAAGATAGGAACAGAAAAGACATCAGAATAATGGATGACCTATTTGAAAATGGCAATTTTCTTTCCTATATTAAATTTAAAGAAATTTTTGATTAGGAGGGTAGAGGCCACTTCTGGAAACACTTACAAATAAGACACTGTATTAAAGAAGTGGTTCCTGTTGGTCAGGACAGAAGTCAAATCGAATGGTACTTGCAATTACCCAAAATACATCATAAAGCTTCAAGATGGTATGGGATGTGTCCTTGGACAAATAATAATGGTTGTAGCAATCTTAAGAGGATATGGGAGAAAGATCTGTCTTGTACACTGGATGAAAAAATATGGGAAGGGATCCTCTCCAACACCAAAGAATACATAAAAGAAGCCAGAGGCAAATTTATTCAGTATAAAATAATTCATAGATATTATTTTTCACCATCAAGACTTAATAGAATGGGTTTAATTAATAAAGCTGTATGTTGGAAGTGTGGGGAAGAAAGTAGCTCATTTATTCATGCATCATGGGAATGTTCTAAGATCCGCCCTTTGTGGGAAAAAGTTATAGATTATATGAGTAAATCATTAAGTTACGAACTTCCCAGATCATAAAGATTATGGGCTCTATTTTGTGTCCGCCACGCAGTGGTATTTGCGTCTGGTGGAGCCCGTCGTACAGCCAGTTTGGTATTTTTGTGGACTGAGGCGCACCGAGGTCTGCTGAGCTGGACATGGTGGTGTGACAGGGGGAGGTGTCGACAGAATCAGCTTGCACAGTGACATTTTTGTGCTCCGCTGGCGTGTAAAGTGCGCTGTAAGCTTGCAGATTCAAACCTGCAGCTCGACCTGGACATGTCTCCGTGTCCTCTCGCCGTCCTGCTGCGGCTGAACAGATGATTTGTTTCAGTGATCAGATGAGTTTTTTTACTTTAAGCCTACATACAAATATTATAATATTCAGTTTTGTGAGCGAAAGGCAAAGGCAAGGAGAGGAGCTTATGTTATTGGTCAATACAGGTCTCGGCTGTGTTAAACACACTCCACGCCCTCTCTCCTCCCTCCCTATGACTTACGCCACTGGGAGGAGCAGAGTTAGGGAGGGGGGATACTTACACCGGGCTGCGCCGCTCACCAAAATACCAAATAAGGCTTGGGAACGTCTTGTCGGCGCAGCAGACCTGACTTATACTGCACCTGCGCCACGTCTCCGGCGAGGCATGAAAATAGAGCCCTATGTCTCCTTGAAGACAGGACTATGGTGCCCCTGTTGAATAAATACAGTTTTAGAATATTAAAAGCTGACCTAATAACATGTGCACAGACTATTTTGAGGTGTTGGAAGGAATCCCAAGCCCCTACACTAAGATTGTGGAAAACACAGATGATGGAGACTGTAGCTTGGGAGAAGATGTTGGGGAGGTTAAATTGTGAAAATGATATGATAAAAGAAAAATGGGATAGTTTTGGTCGACAGATGTGTTAACTTACTTGCTTTGCCAACCTACCTGCCTGCCTGATTTGTATTTTATTTTTATTTCATTTTATTTATTTTCTTTTGTGTTTTTATTTATTTTATCATTATTATTTTTGACCTCCACCTCTGTCTGCCAAAAAAATAGTAGCATACCTAGTTACTTTTAAGAAGTTACTCGTTAAAGGTCATAAATCTCGCCTCCTCCAGCAATCTTAATAGAGTTATGGACAAACTTAAATTAATTACCCCCCCCCCCACACACACACACACACACACACACACACACACACATACACATACAAACCCACTTCAAAAAGAAAGAAATAGCCCTTTAGAGCGACAGCTCCACATGACTCTTGCTTACTTATACAGTTATTCCCTTATTCAACCATAGCTTTCATGTGTATTATAGTTCTTTTTTTAATGAGAGGAAAATAAAGATGCTGATAAATAGAAATAAAAAATTTGTGGATGGATGGACAAGTTCTGATGCAAGAGAAAGTTTGTGGTAAGGAGAAAGTCCTGACCCTCTATCTTCTCTGGAAAATAAGAAACAGAAATGTATATGATATATTTCTTTGACTTGAGCTTAGTAATCACAGCTAGCCTCAAATCATTACTTTTTATTCATATTTCTCAAGTGTGACCAATATACCTACATATTGCAAACACTCGCTATAACAGGCAAAAACTAAGTCTGGAAAATACTAATATCTTGAGTACCATGGTAGAGGATTGCTCTTTTAAAAGGCTCAACAAAAGAACAACCCCTTAACTGCACAAGTATTAGAGTTCCAGTTATGCCTGAGTTAATACTAATGCCATGTCATTTAATTGCCACCCTCTTTCTGCCTGGCAATAACCCCTCTGTGTAACAGCCTCTCAATCTTGTGAGTGTTGGAATGGGCTCCATTGTTGTCCTGGGTGCCATACTTTCTGGCAATAAACATCAGACTTCTCTAAATCCAGTGTGTTACCATGGGATGGTTAAGTGCAGATTTTATTTTCTTTTAATTCTTGCAGTCCCACCCTTTTGATACAGTGTTTTTTTCTGTTTACACAACATAAAATTCTGGGTTTATGCCAGAACAGCTGTTCTGAAACTAAGTAATACACAGGCAGAATATGCCCTGGCATGTTCAATCAAAATCAAAATAAATATAAAAATATCTCAAAGATGCTGCATTCTTGCTCTTGTCAGGCTGTTCAAGCCAGTGTGTCATTATCACCATAAGGATTTCATCTGTTGCTGATTGATTGTTGCTGTGGCTAATGTTTAAATTACAAAAACACTGTACACTTGCTAACAATGCTGAGAAATTTTTTTTCTGGAAAAAAAGTATATTTTCAGAAGAATATATGAAACCACAATCACACAATAGACTCTGCTCTACCCCATGGCAGGGGAAAGAGCTTTAAATACATAGTAAACCCAACAAACAGCAGTAACTACAAGTCTATTTCGTCTTTCTATTTCCTCTTAAAAGTGATCTAAATATCACCATGTAAATTGACTAGGGGGTCAAAAATACAAAAAAAAGGATCAGTTTTTATTTTGTTAATGAAATTTATGATTGATGAATTTTCAACAACCCTTTTGTCCATGATCAAGACGTAAAGCAAAAAGCTAATGTACATTACTGATATAAAAACTCAGACTCAGCTTGTCATTAAGAAGACAATGAAGAGCCAAAATTGTATTAGGTTGCCCGTCGGACATGAGTACATCATCAGGACAGCACAGCAGGGGAGAGTCAAAACTAAATCTGCAACTAAGGTGAGGAATCCAGGTATTTGACAGATTTACATGTTCAGAGAGTGAAACACTACAGATTTAAACACTAGCACAGCCTTGATACCAGTTTGTGACTGATTGATTTAATTCATTTGAAAACGGAAAATATTTTTCATTAATAGTAATGGCTGAAATAAAATGACTTTGCAATGATTCCTATAGACAGAAATGTTTTAAATTTCTTTGACTAAAATAAGACTAAAGTATTTTGACTTTTTTGGACTAGAATTTGACTAAACTTTTTAAGGCAAAAATGACAACACCAAAAAAAAAAAAAAGAAAAAAAAGGTAAGTTGAACATTTAAAGATCCCCTTCATCTCCAAACCTCAGAAAAACTTCTTTACCAGAAGGTGAAGGGCAGACAGCAGCTAACACCAGGCACCAGCAGCAGCTAATGCATGGGGGTCTTCCAAGAGCTACAGACTGGTTCTACTCAGCTATTGTCTGCAGCACTGACACAT